ACCTGTCCACCATGGTGATCCTGCGGTATTTTAAAAAGTAGCTATAGCTTCTAAGGTAATCACAGCAACATGCAAGTCACCACAGTACAGCAAACTGACAGATACGTGATGGAGTACCTTGTTAGACTTGTAGAAAAATGTTAAGAATAGGTGAATGTGGGTAAATTATACATTGATATTTTTTGTATTATTCTCGAAACTTTTCTGTAAGTTTGAAATTCTTTCCAAAAATATTTGAAAAAATACCTAAGAATTCCTGATATTGTTGTTAGGTTCAGACTCATAGCAACCCCATGCACAAAAGAATGAAACACTACCTGGTCCTGCACCATATTCACAACCATTGTTATGCTTCAGCCTACTGCGACTCCCACTGTGCCAATCTATCTTGTTGGGGTTCTTCCTCTTTTCCTATCACCCTCCACTTTACCTAGCATAATGTCCTTCTCCAGGGACAGGTCCTTATGAGAGATGAACTCTTATCATCCTGACTTCTAAGGAGCATTCTGGCTATACTTCTTCCACATAGACTTGTTTGTTCTGGCATGGTCTCCTTTCAATATTCTTCTCTTATACTTACAACTCAAATGCATCAATTCTTCTACAGTCTTCCTTATTCAATGTCCAACTTTCATATGTGTATGAGGCTATTAAAAATGCCATGGCTTGGATCAGGTACGCATCAGTCCTAAAATTGACACCTTTGTTCCTGGACACTTTAAGGAGGTCTTGTGTAGCAGATTTGTGTAATGCAATCCATTGTTTGATTTATTGACTGTTATTTCCATAAGAGTTGACTGTGGCTCCAAGCAAAATGAAGTCTTTGACAATTTTCCTCTTATCTCCATTTATCATGATGTTACTTATGGGTCCAGTAATGGGGATTTTTGTTTTCTTTACATTGAGGTACAATCCACACTCAACACTGTAGTCTCTGAGCTTCACCCTTTTCACTTTCAGTAAGCAAGGTTGAATCATATGCATAACCCTCCAATCCTGATGCCACACCCTCTTTATACAGACCTGCTATACTATTATTAAAGGAGCTCTGGTAGTGTAGTGGTTACGAATCGGGCTGTGAACCTTAAGGTCAGCAGTTCGAAATTACCAGCTGTTCCGAAGGAGAAAGATGAGGCTTTCTGCTCCCGTAAAGATTTGCAGCCTCGGAAACTCTGTACAGGGTCGCTATGAGTTGGAACTGACTCCACGGCACATTACAACAAATACTATATTAATGTATTATTTCTATTTGATTAATTTTGGGGGGTGGGTAACAAAGAAGAAAAGAAGGAGAATCTAAAAAATTGCAGTTTCATTATACAATTCTTGGGAGTTCTGACGCGGTATCCCTAAGATTCTGGACATAAGAGTAAAGATTGCATGTTGGTAGTTGTGTGCCATTGGTTTAATCTAACTCATAGCAACCCTGTGTAGGGTTTCCGAGTCAGTAAATCTTTACAGGAGCAGAAAACCTCATCTTTCTCCTGCGGAGATTTGAACTGCTGACCTTGCAATTAGTAGACCAATTCGTAACCCACTATGCAAACAAAAAAAAAAATGCTGCTTACTCGGCATTAATTAAACTCTGAAGATCAATACAGAAATGAAAGGTCATCTAAATATGATAGAGGAGCTCTCAGGCTGGAGTTTATTTAGAATGGATTGATCAAAATGAGGATTTGGCAAGTCATTTGTTGACCGCTGTTCAGGGTAAAGAAAACTAGTCACAGACTTCAAGTTTTATTTTCCTGTTGACAAGACAATCCTTAGCAATAGGCTAAGTTGGTCTTACAGTCATTAAACATTTGATATAAACTATTCCTTAGTTTTTAATTCCATGGTAAGAGTCTTATGATTTTAACATGGCTTCCCACAAAGATATAACAACAAAAATAGAATGTGCTGATAACTCAGATAATGCCTATTTCTCTGGTAGCGTAGTGGTTATGAATTGGGCTGCAAACCTTAAGGTCAGCAGTTCGAAACTACCAGCCGCTCCGCGGGAGAAAGATGAGGCTTTCTACTCCCGTAAAGATTTACACC